GGCCCCTCAGAGTTCTGAGTGGAAAGCATTAAGGAGTACAGTCAGAGTCACTGCACTGGACAGAAATAATTCCTTCTTTCCCTTAAAAAATAAATATCTTAAAGAAAGAGCTCTCAAAGTTTGGTAAGTCATGGTTTCACTCTTGTGACATGGTGATAATGTTTATAAGGCCTGGTGCTGTACATTTCTCTCTATTGCTTACAAATTTGAGAATGAATTTCGTTTAGGAATGTAAGTCTATTATAAAAGTACTGTCTTATCTAAATGCCACCTTCTGCCAAATGTGATATATAGATAGATAGATCCAATGGAATATTACTCAGCCATTAAAAAGAATGAAATAATGCCATTTGTAGCAACATGGATGGACCTAGAGATTATCATAGTAAGTAAGAAAGTCAGAAAGAGAAACAAATACCGTATGATATCACTTATATGTGGAATCTAAAGGCCAACACCAATGAATTTATCTATGAAACAGAAATGGATTCACAGACGCAGAGAACAGACTTGTGGTTGCCAAGGAGGAGGAAAGGTGGAAGGAGAGAAGGATTGGGAGTTTGGGATTAGCAGATGCAAACTATTATATATATAGGATGAATAAAGAGCGAGGTCCTACTGTATAGCGTGGGAAGCTATACATCCTGTAATAAGCAATCATGGAAAAGAATATGAAAAAGAATATATATGTGTAACTGAGCCACCTTGCTGTAAAGCAGAAATTAACACAACATTGTAAATCAACTATACTTCAATTAAATGAAAAAAGAAAACCCTTTGCATATTCACAAAGGCACAGAATCCAATTCCTAAGAAAGAGTCATTCCAAAACTGGTCATTCCACAGAGAGAGAAGAAGCCCAACCAAAAGTGCCCCTGGGCTTAAAACTGCACTTTCCCCCTCCCCCGCCCCCACTCCCTCTCTCACCCCAAGCAGAACAGACTGCCTAGAATTTGTAGCTAGGAGGATCATCCAAGGCACAGAGAGCGGAGCTGCAGAAGATGTCTTTGGCATTCTCAGCTTTTAGCCCTACACACCTAGCTCTGGTAGAGATAGAAATGAGAGTCTGTCCTTCACAGTGGGGAGACTGAAGCTCTGAGAAGTGGGTGGCTTGCCCAGGATCACAGAGAAAGCCAACTCTCATTCCTAACCTTCACTCTGCGGCTGCTGTCACATTCCAGGCCAGGGACCACATGGGTGGAATTCAGCCTCCATTTTCGGGAAACGGGGTTTGTTACTTTTCCATTTACACGAAAAATGAAAAATAAATAGCAGATGTTTGAACACATGTAACAACTCTTCTTACTGGAACTTAAAAGTGCATTCTGACTGAGAAAATTAAATTAAAAAATCCACACAGCAAAAAAAGATGTTTTGAATGAAATACACTTTGTCTTTCCCTCTCTCTCTCACACACACACGAACAATATCTCCTTGTTTCTTCTTCAGAGAGCAGCTGTGAAGGAAATTTGGGGAGGGAGATGAACATAACATCCCATCTTTGTGTTTCATACAGAGCAAAGCTTTTAGACCAGCCTTCCTGAACTGTAGGGGGCGGGGCATGCCTTAAAATTAAACATCAGTGACCTGAGGAAGCTTATAAAATATCTTGGGAGAAGTCAGTCACCAAGACAAGGCATCTCAGAGTGGATGATTCTGCGTGTGGAAGCTGCTTTCATCTAGATAAAAAAGGTATGTACTGTGGTTTTAATTCTCATTTCAGCTAAAAATAATAACTAACATGATTGAGGGCCTTTGGCCAGTTGCTTTGCAGACTTGGTTTCATTTTTCCATAAACGACCTTACAAGGGGGATATTTTTAGTGCCATTTTTCAAATGAGGAAACTGAAGTTCAGATATCCTAAGCAACAGGCCTAAAGTAAGACCACCAACAAATGCCAGAGCTGGGGTGTCAACCTGAGAAGACTCACCTCAAAGTCTTCTGCTTGCATCAGGCAACCCCCTTGATACTATTATTAGACAATGAGGACTTATTCCTATACCAGTAATACTGTACTAGATGAATTCTCAGGGAGTTATCCAGTGTGCATTTCAGTAAAATTGACCAAAAAGTGAGTTGGAATGTGCTGTGTGAATTGAAAATTCATTTAATATTAATATAATTAATTATTAAATAATTAAATTAAATAGTATTAATATTAATAGAAAATGCGAAGTTTTTTATCTCCTGAAAAATTTTCTTCAGGCGATATGTTTTCTTATTAGATTCAGTAGCAAAACGGTTTTTAAGACCCATATACTTGGGGAAATGTATTTTATTTTGTCATGTGAAATCTGAAAGTCTCAGCCCTAATATTCTGAAGCTCCTTGAGACCAGATACCAGGTCCACACTGACGTGCAGGTGTGTAGACTCTTGGGAAACCTGGTCTAAGTTCTGGCTTCACAGCTTATCAGGAAGTAACCTCACTGCGTTCACAGAGAATGTCAGTGCAGGACTCTTCCAGACTGGGTGTTGTAGAGATTCAGGTCCATGTAAAATACTGAAACCAGGGCTTCTCCCTGGAGAAGCTCAAGGAGTGTAAGTAGTAATGCACAGAGTCAATCCTGGCCCAGGGTGGATGCACCACAACTTTAGTAGAATTCTGTTTTAATTATTTAATATCCAGTTAAGATAATATTTAAGTTATATCTATTTTTAAAAGTATTTGAACTCTCTTCATTAGGACAATCTTTCCATTAGTGTTAGAAGAAGATGCAAAAGTAAGTCATATATATCCGAGTTCATAGATACAGATTAATAATGTGATTTACCCTCAGAAGTTGCTCAATAAGCATTGGATGAATTAGAATGCAAGGGGCACTGGGAAAAAATGATGGATATTATCAACTCTTTCTCTCACAAGAAGTTTAATCATAGGACAAAAACTACTACAATAAAGAGGCATCTTTGGAAGAGATGCAGGCAGGGATAATTAGTTATGCTCTGAAATCCTGCAGAGCACATTTCAGCTCAGTACAGAACATTTTGTAACAAGATATTTGTCAGGAGCTGACTTTTGGTCGAACTGTCATGTGGTGAAATGAGATTCATCAGGTATTAGAGGTAGGTGTTTACTGAAGCCACTGAAGGTGGTCACAGAAGGCAGCAAAGTTCAGGGTTGTGGCAGAATGGAAAGCTGGAGATGGGGCCTGAGCCCCGGCCTTCTGCCCCTCTGGGCCTTAGCTTCCCCATCGGTACACCTGAGGGGAGGGATTGGATAAATGACCTCTAAGTTTCTGCCCAGTTTGGGGGCTGTGGAGAATGTGCATAATGTGTGGCCATCCTTGAGCTTAGAACTCCTGGGCAGGGCACCGAGCCTGGAGCCGACTAGGGGCCAAGAGTAGAACTTCAGTGATTCTAAAAACAGCTTGGGAAGGAATGCAAATTTTTGTGGGTTTAGGCTGGATTTTGGCAAATCCATCACCCCCGCAAAAGGTTAAAAAACAGATGTTGTTTACCTGGTGGCAGGGGCTGATGGGAAACGGAGCCTAAGAGACTAAGGAAAGTAGCCCCCCTGGCAGACGTGTTCAAGGCGGGGACTCCGGGACCGTCCCTCCTTCCCTCAACCTCACATCAACTTTTACTCGTTATGTAACTGTTCTTTTGAAAAACACGCAACAAAACCTCCAGAAGAAGAGCTATTGATTATTAAAGGTTATTTGGAGATTTAGAGATTCTTAAGAAAGTGGTTATAATTATCCCAGTTATGACACATTCTTTTAAAAACTCAAATCTGAGAACATCTTGCTTGCCTCGATTCAGGCCTCTTCATCGCAGGGAGAAAGGCAAAGAGCTGGAAATAGCTCTCGTGCAGCTACAGGCGGGGAGTCACAAGGAAGAGACAGACTGAGAGCAAGTCAGCGAAAGAAGCTGGGAGCAACCCAGGCTTCGACCCTGCCAGCAGCGCTGTAGCCCCCACCCCTGCCCACTGTGCACCCCCCGCAGAGCAGCTTCCTCACCCGAGGGTTCTGGGCTCACATCAGCTACTGGTCCTTCTCTGCTTAAATGCATAGCGTGTACGAAAAGTAGCCTCATATTAAGGAAGAAAGGAAGGGAAGGAGAAAGGAAAGAAGGAAGGAAGGAAGAGAAATTCAGGAAATAGAATAATTTGCTTCTGCATTTCATAATAGCATTTATTGAGTGTTTGTGTCAGATACTGCTCTAAATGCTGTCTATATTTTCTCATTTAATTCCCTTAGAAGTTCACAAGGTTGGTATGATTATTATTCCCACTTAATAGTCAAGGAAATTAAAGCATCCATTGGACACAGTTATACTTAGTATGTGAAGAGTCAGAATTCAAACCCAGTCAAGGTGATCCTGGAGTCCCCAAGGTTCCCAGGCCTACTCCTGGACTAGTAAACAGCCAGCAAGTGGAGGGTAGGGTGGGGATGTGGAGTCAGGGGAGGCATTTCTTTGATGAACCTCATAGGGCACTAAATGCAGGTTTTGTTTTCGATTAGTTTTTTTTCTCATGGTTCACTTGAGGGCTTCACTCTCTCCCAATCCCCGCCAGCCCCCCCTCCTCCACACACACACACACACACACACACACACACACACACACATTGCTTCTGTTCATTCAACAAGCATCTACTGTGCCTGGCACTGGGAGGTTCTGTGGGAGAGTCCAGGGAGAATTAAACGAATTAAACATGATGCCCTTCCTTGAAAAATATGCAATTAGCTGTGTGGGGTCAGCAGGGGAGCTGGCCAAATAAGTCCAACCAGCTGTAATGCCAGGCAGATTGTGTTCTAACAGAGGCCCAGAAGGTTCTAGTGAGGCTCACAGAGGAGGAAGACCTCCCAGCCACACCGATGAGTGCGGCGGCCCCGGAGGATGAGGGGCTCAGGTGGGCTGAATGGGAAGCTGCACATGCAGAGACCGACCAGCCCAGACGTGTTTCTCCAAGGACTCCGCGCCCTCAGAGGCTCTGAACGCCTCCAGCTGCTTTGTTCTCCCCTCTCCAGGTCCGTCTCCAGACACCCAGCCCAAAGATGGTGCCAGCGCTGCTGCTGCTCCCTGCCCTGGCTGGCCTCTTCGCAGCAGCTGAGGGACAAGCCTTCCATCTTGGGAAATGCCCCAATCCTCCGGTGCAAGAGAATTTTGACATGAATAAGGTGCAGTAAAAGAATAAATTCCTTCTTGTTTTGCTGTCTCCTGTTTGAATAAGCATCCTACTAGGTTTGGTTTTATTTTCCTGCTCTAATGGCCACAGCAAGCCTTGGGGTAGGTACTTATCTTCCAAAGAGTTCCCAAAAGCAGACTTTGAGACAAGAACTGGGGAGCAGAGAGGTTTTGGGAGATGATCCCAGGAAGCCTGAGTGGGCTTGTGTGGAAACAGAGGAGGCAGGCAAGCAGTAAATGGTGAGCTCACGAGCAGGTGACTCTGTGCACAACAGGGTTCACTCCTGCTGGGGATCCTCTGAGGAAATGCAAAGAATGTGCCTCAGATTGTCCCATGGATAGATGCAAGCAGGCAGTGGGAGCTCCCATGACACTGGACAAGCCTCTCGCAGAGAAGGAGACCCAGGGGCTTGAGGTGGAAGCTGGCAGTGTGTGTGGGAATTGCTTGCCATGATGGAGGTGAGCCCCGAGGTGGGCTGAGAGGACAATGGGGCACAGCAGATGCTGAAGAACTGCGATCCTCACTCTACAGGGGAAGAAGCTGAAAGCCAGGGAGCTTGCCACCCACTCAGGTCACACAGCCAGTAAATGCAGGGTAGGATTCAAAACTAGGCTTCCCGGGAGTGCAGGATCCCATGGGTGACTTGAACAGGCCCAGGATAGGATAGCACTTCCCCCAGGGGCCTTCTTGTCACCTGAGCTAAAAAGATATCAATAAAATCAACTCCACCATATATGGTAAGGATTGTCTCATCATCTTATTCGTGTGTCTTTTGAACACAGAACTTTTCAATATTAATGAAGTCCAAATTATCTTTTCATTGTCTGCTTGTGGTTCTGGTGGCATATCTTTAAAAAAAAATGTTGCCTAGCCTATGTTTATAAAGATTTACTCCTATATTTTCTTCTAAGGGATTTATAGTTGTAGTTCTTACATACAAGTCTTTGATTCATTTTACGTTACATTTTATACATCGGTGATATAGAAAGGAAACTTCTTTCTTTGGCATGAGGATATACAGCTGTTCTAGACTGTTTATTTCCCCACTGAATAGTCCTGATACAATTGTTGAAAATCAATTGACCACATGTGTAAGAATTTATTTTTGGACTCACACTTCTATTCTATTGATTTATATGTCTGTCCTTATTCCAGCACTATATAGTCTTGATTACTGTAGCTTTGTAGTAAGTTTTGAAGTCAGAACATATAAGTTCTTTGACTTTGTTCTTGTGGCTATTCTGAGTCCTTTGTATTTCAACATAAATGTTAGGATCAGTTTGTCAATTTCTGCAAAGAAGCTAGTTGGAATTTTGATAGAGACTATATTATTAAATCTATGGTCAATTTGAAGAGTATTGCCATCTTAACAAGTTTAAGTCTTCCTATCCATGAACATAGGATGTCTTTTCATTTATTTAGGTCTTCTTTATTTCCACAGTCTTTTGTAGTTTTCAGAGTGTGTTTTATGCTTCTTTGGTTAAATTTTTTTCATAAGAATTTTATTCTTTTGATGCTATTGTAAGTGGAAATTTCCTAAATTAATTTGCAGATTTGTGATTGTAAGTATAGAAATACTTTTTATTTCTAGATATTAATTATTTTATCCTTTACCTTACTGAGTCCACTTGTTAGTTCAATATGTGTGTGTGTTTGTGTGTATTCCTTAGAGTCTTCTATATACAAAACCCTGTCATCTGAAAATGGAGATAGTTTTACTTCTTCCTTTTCATAATTATTTCTAAACATTGCATTCTCCTTATATAGATAGAGAAATGAAGACTCTTCACAAAAATAATATGAGATCATGAGGGAACATGACATGAAGAGCAATCTTCCACCTCTGAGTTTCTTCCTTTCTGGAAAATTAAGCTTCCTTGTTTTAAAGTGGACCATTAAAGTCACCTTAACAGTAATGGAACTATTTTAAATGCACTGTATAAAATGAAGATTATTTTGGAGGATGCCTATGAAACCAATTGACCTTTAGCTTATTCTTTGATGCTTTAAATGCATGTTAAGTTCAGTGATTTTAATTGAAAGATGTCCTTTAACAAATGAGAGGAATATTTATGTCATAAATGTGGACACACATTTTAACAAAGAGCCAGGCGACCGAAGCAATACTGCCACCTATTTGCAGTATGCTCTCATTTCAAATTCTGATTGCATCTCCTTAATTTTGCTTTGTTTTGCTGAGTAATACATTTTAAAATTTCTAAAATAATTTCAATTAATATTTTGACTAGGTAAATATATTCACCGGGTTCAAAATTCTAAAGGTGCAAAAGAAGATACAATGAAAACTTTCGCTTCTACCCCTGTAACCCAGCCTCAGTTCTCCCCAGTGGCAACCAGTAAAAACAGTTTATGGTGTATCGTTTTAGAGATAATGTGTACGTATATTAAAAAGCACATATATAATTGCAGTAGGAAGAATGTTGTCCATGTCCTATTCCCCAGAATCTACAAATTATTTTTCCCAATTAGAAAAAGGGATTTTGAAGTTGTGATTAAAGTTATGGAGCTTGAGATGGCAAGGGTATCGTAGATTATCAGTTGGGTGAAGGAATCTTTTGGGCCTAGAAAAGAAAACATCAGTCTCAAAGGCCTCTTGCTGAATCATCTAACTTCGGAGAAAACAAAGCAGAACTTTAGTTCCACCCTGATGCTCCAGGCTGGTTGCATCTGTCTGGGACTTATCAACCCCTGTCCAGAAACCTTCCACCCTCACACCTGCCCAGAAGACTTATCACCCCCTGCCCAACTAAAAATGTCATCTCAACAAAAGAATATTCAAAATATCCCACCTGATTAACGTTTCCCTTATCGCTTCCACAAACTTCCCTATAAATATGAAGCCTCCCCGATCCCTCTCGGCGCTCAGCCTGGTCGTTAGGCTGATTGTCGCCCCTCCTTGCCTGAATAAAGGTAACCTACTTCTGTTGAGATCGTCTTTCCTTTTCTGCCTTGCCCGAACTATACCTTACAGTGGGTCTAATCTAATCATTACAAGCAGAGAACTTTTCCCAGCTGTGGGCAGGGAGGTATGATGATGGAAGCCTCAGAGAGATGCAGTGTGAGAAGGAGTTGATCTGTTTTTGCTGGCTCTGAAGATGGAGGAAGGGATTCACAAATCAAGAAATGCAAATGGCATCTAGGTCTTGGAAAGGGTAAGAAGACAGATTCTCCTCTAGAGCCTCTAGAAAAGAATGTAGCCCTGCCGGCACTTTGATTTTAACCCAGTGAGATCCTTGTCAGACTTCAGATGTACAAGCTATGAGACCATAAATTTGTGATGTTTTAAGCTTGTGGTAATTTGTTACATTAGCAATAGAAAACCGATATAACCTTTTCTCCCAGTTTTACATAAAAGGTAGCTTAATATATATACACTATTTTGCACCTGGCTCTTTTTCCATTAAGTGTATCTTGGAGATAATTGCCTGTTGTTGTTTTAAAAGAGAGTGTATAACATTCCACTGTATGGATATGTCATCATTTAGTTAACCCTACTAATGCTCACTTAAGCCACTTCCTGTCTTTTAATATTACAAAGAGAACTGCAATGAATGACCTTAGACAAACATCATTTCTTATTTTCAGGAGGATACCTTTCCATAAGTGAAATTGCTGGGCCAGAGTAAATGTAGTTTTAGTTTTGCTTGATGTTACCAAGTTGCCCTCACGAAGGTTGTAGACTGAAGCAGTTTCTATGCCGGGGAATGTGTGGAAGCAGAGTATGACTGTCTCCCTTCACCCTCACCCACATGTTTGCTCAGTTCCTTTAAAGCTGATTCTGCACTGAAGTTAGGGTCTGAGAGCAAGCCCCCAGGGGAAAAATGATATAGGTCTTCTAAATCCTAATCTCATGCCAAAAGCCTCTGTGACCAATTCCTCGTGTGGGGTCATATGAGGAGAATTCAATCGATTCTGGAGTCCCAGCTTCCCACAGTAAACATATCTTACTTTGCACATAATTCAAAGATACCTTGTAAAATCATAAAATATTTGAGATGACATCTTACATCATCTAAACCAATCCCTTCCTTTTACAGAGTTTAGAATTTCACATAGGTTTTGACTGAAGGGGACACCAAGAGCATAGCTAAATAAGAGCACTTTAGGAATGGATGATGGCATTCAACCAATGCCCACACATCCGATTCACTTATTCCCATTGGAATCAATATCTTGCTCAGTGGCTTCTGGGAACAATGGGGCCCATTTTGCCTGGCTTCCCCAAGAAAGGGCTCTGCTCTGAAAGACAACAAAGGGGAAGAGTTTTCAGGTCCCTAGAGAGCCACAGGATTTGCTCTGCCTGTCATTGTCTCTGCAGTATCTTGGAAGATGGTATGAAATTGAGAAGATCCCAGTAAGCTTTGAGAAGGGAAGTTGCATCCAAGCCAACTACTCACTAAAGGAAAATGGAAACGTCAAAGTGATAAACAAGGAGCTGAGGTGAGTGGTTGTGGTTTCCAAAGCATTGTACGTCCTGGAGACAGCCCTGCAGACTTGTCCTGGGGTGACTGGTGCCCTTGCCTTCTAGTGTGGGAGGATGGGGACATCGCTGGGTCTTGGCTGCCTGCTCACAACAGGTCCTGAAAGGACAGCTTTTGGCAGGCAGGATGGTAGGGACTACAAGCCACTCATTCTTTTCCATGGCCACTTGCTGAGCATCTTACTGTGTCCCAGACCCTATGAGAGACGCTGGGGACTTAATGGTAACCCAAACTGCAAGATTCCTCTCTCACTCCAAAATAGACCTTCTAGAAGCAAAAGAAAGCAGGGACTTTCTTGTCTGATCTCCAGTACCAAGAGAAAAGCCCTTTCTATATCACCTGCTGATTGAGGGCATCTAGCTTAGCTTGCATCTTTCCAGAAACTGGGAGCTCGTCAATATCCATGACAGTTTATTCCATCTTCAGACAGTTTTAACTGTTAGACAACTCCTTTTCTTATTAAGCAAGAGTGAAATGCATACACAGTCACATTCTAGGTTTAGTGAACAGGAGAGCCTACAGAGATGTACTTTTCTATCACTGAGGGCTTCTTCACTGATCCCAAAATTCATATTTTAAAAGCAAATATAAACTTAAAAAGAAACCCAGTAAGAACTTCTACCCACCCACCATCAACAAACATGACAGTAACAATAAACAATAGTAACTAATATTAATTAAGCACTTCCTATGTGCAAGGCACTGTTCTGTATGCATATATATGTGTGTGCACAAGTGCATGTATTTATGTATATGTAAATGAGCATTTTATTCATTTAATCCCCACAGCAACCTGAGGTAGGTACTATTATTAAATCCATTCTTATGGATGAGGAAACTATGATACAGAGAGGTAAAGTAATTTGCCCAAGAGTCACACAGCTTATAAGTGACAAAGCTGAGATTTAAGAGATTCAAAACCCAGGAGAAAGGACTACCCTGGTGGCCCAATGGTTAAGACTCCACACTTCCAATGCAGGGGGTGAGGGTTCGATCCCTGGTCAGGGAACTAAGATGCCACATGGCATGGCCAAAAAATAAAAATTAAAAAATAAATTAAAAATTTTTTAAGTAAAGTAAAACCAGGGAGAAGTGAAATGGAGAAGAAACCAGAAGACAAATGAAAGAGGCTGGACATGAAGGATTGCCATTCCTGTTTCCTAAGTCGTCTAAGAACTGTGTTCAACTCCAAGAAAACAAGTACCAGTCAGACTGGAAGTTACACAGGCTCAGAAAGACTTCCCATGGCCATCCTATTACCCATTAAGCTTCCTGTGAGCCACAACACAGTAGCTGATTCTCTGACCCCGCATAAACCAAAATAATAATGGAAGAGTCTTGAATAAAGAAAAGTCAGACTCATTTCAGAGCTCCTGATATGACTGAGACCCAAAGAGGGGGGAAATTTGCAGATCTCCAGACTTCATGTTTTACATGAGTTTTAGTAATCTAGTAAGTCTTTATGTTTTCCCTTGGACCCTTGTCATTTTTAAAGAAGTGAATATTCATTTTATGTCAGGTTGTTTCATTTGCTTGTAAATTTTCCTTTTTCCTCCGTCACGCTTTGGCGTCCAAGAGCAAGAAACAGCCTTGTAGGCCACTACATATACTCTGAAAAACAGGTTGAAGTGCCAGGGTCTCACATATCATCCAGTCCTTGGCCATTGCAATTGTTGATCCTTATAACCCTAGAACTGTCTTCCTCTGCTCAGTCCAGAGACAGCAATAAAGCAAAGGGGAGGGAATGGAACCAGGACCCAACCTACCTTCAAGAATCTCCTACCCAGAAATCGCACTGTTGGCCACCATGATTGTTGGTGTCACAAATCTTACCTTTCATTGATTTTTGGCTTTTAACTAGTTCAGGGTTGTTTTTTTTTTTTCTGTTTTTGACTCATTGCAGAGCTGATGGAACTGTGAATCAAATTGAAGGTGAAGCCACCCAGGAGAACATCACAGAGCCCGCCAAGCTGGGAGTTAAGTTTTTCTGGTGTAAGTATACACTTCTCTCAGGAGGTTTCAGGGACAGGAGCTCGACAAACTGAAGGCTAGAGCCCTGGGTCAGAGCAGTCCTGTCACCTCTGAGCATCACCTATACTGATTCAATGCATAATTACCTGTGGACCACCTCCTACCTGCCGTATGCTGGGCTAGGCCCTGGAGATGCAAAGATGAGCAAGACAGAGCTGGCCAATGTCCCTGTGAAGCTTACATGTCAGTGTGGATACTGACAAGCACCCAGGTGATTTATTATAAAACTACAGGAAGTATGCCAATGGAGGAAGCACAGATTGAAGCCCGTTAGGCATGAGCAGTAGGAGACTCAAGCCAGTCTTCTTTCCCAGAGGGAACTAACAACTGAAAAATTAGTCGTTATTAGAAAAACAGCTAACATGTGAGAAAGTTTAAAAGCAAGAGATGGTAAGAGTGAAGGTAGGTTGGAGTCCCGGCTCTGTTTGCCACTTTTTGGCCAAAATTGTTGGGGTTTCATTTGGTTCCCCTCCCAGTTGGACAATGGGTTTTCCTTGGTGTTGGGAGGTGGAGTTATCGAATAATATCCTCTGAACTTAAAAGGAACTTTGAGACTGGAAAAGAAAATAGGCAACTCCATAAAGAATGATTTTGTTTATTATGGGTAACTTACATCCAGGCAGAATCATGTAGATGACCATCAGAGGCATTCCCAGCTGCACTGCATTCTGCCAAAAGGGGGATGCTTAATGGGGCCATAGCTAAAAATAGAATCTGACTACTAAAGGAAGCATGTCCACACTGACAGAAACTGAGGGATTTGCTTCCCCCCACCCTCACCCCAGGGGTTTCATGACCATTAACAACCTGTGTCAGCAAAAGACATTCTTTCAGTTTTCATATCAAAAATCAGATAAAGACCGTAGGGAGCTTATTTGGCTTGGGTGCTTTCCTTGTGAGTAAGCTAAAGCTCAGTAGGGCAAAAAAGGGGAGGGGTAAGACTGCAGGCCTAAGATGGAGCTGACAAAATGGATCCAGTGCCATTGAGCCACACACTTGGCTTGGCTGTGGAGGTCAGGTTCACAAAGGAAATTTATGGATTCAAATGGAGAAAGTAAACCCTCCATCTCTCTTCTTAAAGACCCTTTTAATATGGAACTTTCAACACTACTCAGATGTCAATCAGTGAACCTCTATAGACCCTTTGTGAGGAGGAATTTGTAACCTGTTACCACCTTATTTGGGCTTCCCCAGGGGCTCAATGGTGAAAAACTCACCTGCTAATGCAGGAGATAAAGGAGATGCGGGTTCTACCCTTGGCTTTGGAAGATCCTCTGGAGCAGGAAATGGCAACTCACTCCAGTATTCTTGCTTGGGAAATCACATGGACAGAGGAGCCTGGTGGGTTACAGTCCATGGGGTCACAAAGAGTCAGACATGACCGAGTGACTAGACAACAGCCATCACCTGATTTACCATATTCTTAAGAATAGTGGGATTTTCAAAGTTCACACAAGAAGAAAAACAAGCAAACCAACATTAGCCCCTACCTCCTCCTGTAGGTGGATTATAGAGGAAGCTGGATGGTACAAACCTGGAAAGCCTGGAGCCCCTGATCTTACCTTCTTAACTCCACTCACTAAGTAATGGCTCCATGGGCACCTGTGCTCAGTTCACCTGTCAGTCCAGGGGATCTGGCCAAACCTCCAGATACCTCCAAACCTCCAGTACCTTCCAGGTACTAACCTGTGGTCAGGGATTGGGGATCCAGAATGATGGCTCTGAACTCTTGCTGCACATTGGAATTACTGGGAAGCTTTCACAAGTCCCAACAAGCTCCAGTTCAGCCTTTGGGAGTTGGGGTGGGGAGAGATGAGCCTGGTGTTTTTCAGAGGTCCCATATGATTCCCACATGAAGCCAAAATTAAGACCCACTGATGCAGAAGAGCTAGAATCCCAGAGCCTGGCTTCCAGGACCCTGGAGATGAAGGTTTCTTTGCCCTGGTCCCTCCTAATACTGCCTTCCTCTGGTTCTCAGTCATGCCATCAGCTCCATACTGGGTCCTGGCCACCGACTATGAGAACTACGCCCTCGTGTACTCCTGTACCACAATCATCTGGCTTTTTCACATGGATCATGTTTGGATCTTGGGAAGAAACCCTTATCTCCCTCCAGAAACAGTGACCTATCTCAAAGATATCCTGACCTCTAATAACATTGAAGTTGAGAAAATGACGATCACAGATCAGGTGAACTGTCCCGAGTACATGTAACCAGGCTCTAAAGGGAGCTGCATTCACTCCATGTTCCTTCTCATGCTTTGCTTTCCCCTATACCAACCCTCATAAAGACAAACCAAACCACCAGAGCAAACTATCACACCTACCAGAAGGGAAACATGGCAGCAGAAGCTAATGGAGAAGAACCCAAGGCAAGCTGGCCCGAACATTTAGCCATGCACCATTCTGTTACCTTGCGAGTCTGATAATAAACTTGCTGCTGACCTGCTGTGCTCACAGTAAATTCTAAACTGGACTAATTATTGTGGGGTTTTAATTAGAAGCTTATGTTTGGAAATCCTCAAGCAGTGATGTTGAAAAAAAAAGAAGCCCTGAACAGTTTAAAGGTAACAGTCCTGTTTCTAGAAAGAGAAAGCTGATGGCAAAGGCACATTTCAAGTGACCCGAATCCAGGCGCCCCCATCCTGCAATAGGCAGTCCTTAATGGGGGGAATCCTATGGAATTTTTGAGTCTCTGACAGGCAGTTTCCTGGAAACCTTTGCTCTCAGGAGGTCTTCAGAACCAGGTGAAGAATGGGACCATTTTGAGTCTGTGCAATGAAGAGAATCTGTGAGGTAGAAGCTATGGGAATTTTTTAAGAAAATAATTTTTTTGTCTTTTATTCAGCTGATATTTACTGGGACTCAAGAGCATTCCAGGCATTGAGAAATAGAATCTATTTCCTCTCACAGAAGCTCACAGACTAGTGAGGGAGACTGACAAGTAGGGATGTGGATTTTAATCCAAGCTGAGGGGTGCAAAGGCAGAGGCGTGTGGAGGGAGCCGGGGAAGCTCCGAGAAGATCTGAACACCTGCCAGACACAGGCACTTATGAGGTGGTACAGTCACACCTTGGGGCATTCCAGCTTCAAGGAGTCAGGAAGCACCTGGAGTTTGCTGCTGATGATTTTTTTTTTTTTTACATTTTGACTCTTAAAATCAGAACAGCCTCAAAATGATCACCCTGCGATTACTCTTATGTCACATAAAAGTTGTAATCCATTAATGTTTGGGAAATGAATAGAAAATGAAGCCATTTGATTAGATTTTTGCATTTTCAGCACACATATAAAATATTCATTTCCTGGAGCATTTGAGACTCTTCACTGCTTTATATTAAAGGTTATAAAAATTCCAAGAAACTTAATATGTATCATTTTCATTTTACTAAATAAACATGACCTCAAAATGTAGCTTGCAGTTCAAAATTCCTAAAGGCTGAAACTCACTAGACAAAGAGGTGAGCAGGAAGCGTTAGGTATTAAAGAAAAGCCTCTTCCCACATCTCAGCCTTCTGCTGCTTCCTGTGCCTTAGGTCACTGCCCACCCCAGTGGAGGGCGCCTGGCTTGTCTTCTACAGTTCTTCCCAGAGTGTTAAGCTGATTGTCTAGCTCCTACCTCGTGGTACAAGATAAGTTATGATTGTGTTAATAGCTCTTAACGGCTGTCTAATAGCATCTAAAACAACAAAACGTGACTACATTTTGCACCTGTTACAGTGTCTTGCCCAATACATAGGCTCACAATTCTTGTGTGAATGAATTACTGAGTAAGTCGATAGATTGGTGGACTTGAGGTGTTTGGGAAAGGATAAGGAAACTAAGAAGCAAGTATCAGGAGTCATTGAATCTGAGAAAATGGGAGGAATTCAGAGGGTATCATGGGGGCATCATGGGGTAAAACAACAAAAATTTCAGAAGAGAAAGCAAGAGAAGTGGGAATTAAACAGCAAAATAGAGACAGTAGCAACCCCCCGTGTGCCCATAAATAAATGACCCCCATGTACCCATCATCAGTGCCTATAGTCATCAACATTTCACCAATCTTGCTTCAGCTATCACCCATCCACCTCTGGTGTTTTTCCAAATAGTGTTTTGAAGCGAATACTAAATAGCACATCCTGTTATTTTTCCTGCTAACTACTTAAGTATAAATCTCTAGCAAGTATGGCACTTTTTAAACCAAAAAAAAAAAAGAAAAGAAAAGCAAGGTTATGTTTTCATCCTGAAAGTACTCAGAGAATGTAATTTAATTTATGTAATATAAACATTATTTTATATTTTCCATATGAAAGGAGAGATATATGTACAGAGGTGTTCATCATACTTTTACTCGTAGCAGCCCCCAAACTAAAAGGAGCTAAAGTAAAATGAAAACTAACAGCAGAGGAATGAGGGGAAGATCCCTGGAGGAGGACAAGTCAACCTACTCCTATTCTTGCCTGGAGAATCCCATGGACAGAGGAGCCTGGTGGGCTCAGTCCATAGGGTCGCAAAGAGTCAGACATGACTGAAGCGACTTAGCATGCATGTGGAGGAGTGAGATCATAAATTATGGAAGAGCCACCTGATGTAATGTGGTATACTCCGTAAATTTGTAGTTATGAAGATAAAGGTCACATAAGAGCTGGTGCCTGCCCATCACACTCACTACTAATGGGGGTAGGGAGGATGAAGAGGGAGCAGGGAGGAAGAATAGGGGTCCCTGCATGTGGCCTTGCTGCCTGCAGAGAGAGAGTCTGGAACATGTGCTGTGCTGACCCAGCCACATCCAATAGGACCAAGGTGTGTCCACCTGAGCTAATGACTGCCAATCCACAAGCTAAACAGAAACTTCTGATGGCCTATCTGGATGGAAAAGATAAATTCGGCCAATCTAATCAGAATTTGACTTTAAGAGATCTAGAGAAAGGATAATTGAAAACTCTGTAAGTAATAACTCTGTAAGGTCGTGTAGTTTGGGGTGGCCATTTTTGTCGATGCACAATTGAAGTTATAGTGCAGAAGAGAAATGCAAAGATAAGCTCATACCCCACCTAAGGCCTCTGACAGCAGCTTCAGTAGCTGACGGCTGTGTCCCAGCTCTAATTCCTGTGCAACTTAGCTGTCTTAGGTTCCTGTCCTTGGATTTCTTTAAGATTAGGCTCACACATACACCTACCTACATACACACACACACACACACACACACACACACACACACACACACCTTTTTTTTTTCTTTTGAGCTAATTTAACTTGACTGAGTAATGTTCTTTGCAACCTAAAATAGCCCTAAGACAAAAGTGTTCACTTTTTGAGTGAAAAAAGGCAGCAGTATTGTACTTAAGTTATACTTGTAGTTACATAAAATGATGGCATGCAATCAAGGACTGAAAGTGAACAAAGAAATGAATGCAATTAATGTCTTAGAATAGCGGAATTACAGAGTGATTTGTTTTCCTTTTTTATTTTTGCTGCTGGTATTTGTCATGTAGGCCTTAAAAGTTTAGACCCCAAAAAACTTTCTTCTAGTTCAGCCTGACTCTCTGGCAAGTTGAGTTTCAAATGCCAAAGAAATAGAAATTTAGAAAATATTTGTTTTCACAGTTGTCTAATTGTTGTATTATTTTATTGAAAAGTTGCCCCCAACACAATCATTTTTTTATGTTTATTTTTTTTTCATTTATTTTTATTAGTTGGAGGCTAATTACTTTACACTATTGTGGTGGTTTTTGCCATACATTGACATGAATCAGCCATGGCTTTACATGTGTTCCCCATCTTGATCCCCCCTCCCACCTACACAATCACTTTTATCTTAATAATTATGAGAAACTATTAACATTTTGAATATTTGTTAAATATGGTTAACTTTTATGCTAAAATCAAATATAAGATGAAAATAGGTTCATCAAATGTAGGTCTTCCAGCAGAATAAGACAATCTGAACTACGTTTTTGGGAGAGCTGAGAGCCAATGTAATGGAAAGCATGTTGGGAACTCGGATGGGATCCAGGGCTCTAGTCCTGGCTTCAGAGGACTTAGCCAGCATCCCTCTCCCCTCCAGGCCTGTCTCCTCACATGCGTGTCGTTAAAAGAACTGAACTACATGATGCACCTCTAAAGACTCTTCCAGGTCAAACATTTATAGTTCTGTACATTATAGTTTTGTTCAGTTCAGTTCAGTTCAGTTGCTCAGTCGCATCTGACTCTTTGTGACCCCATGAACCACAGCACGCCAGGCCTCCCTGTCCATCACCAACTCCCGGAGTCCACCCAAACCCATGTTCAGTAAGTTGGTGATGCCATCCAACCATCTCATCCTCTGTCGTCCCCTTCTCCTCCTGTTCTCAATCTTTCCCAGCATCATAGTCTTTTCCAATGAGTCAGCTCTTCGCATCAGGTGGCCCAAGTATTAGAGTTTCAGCTTCAACATCTGTCCTTCCAATGAACAGCCAGGACTGATCTCCTTTAGGATGGACTGGTTTGATCTCCTTGCAGTCCAAGGGACTCTCAAGAGTCTTTTCTAACACCACAGTTCAAAAGCATCAATTCTTCTATGCTCAGCTTTCTTTATAGTCCAACTCTCACATCCATACATGACCACTGGAAAAACCATAGCCTTGACTAGACGGACCTTTGTTGACAAAGTAATGTCTCTGCTTTTTAATATGCTGCCTAGGTTGGTCATAACTTTCCTTCCAAGGAGTAAGCGTCTTTTAATTTCATGGCTGCAATCACCATCTGCAGTGATTTTGGAGCCCCCCAAAATAAGGTCAGCCACTGTTTCCCCATCTATTTCCCATGAAGTGATGGGAACAGATGCCATGATCTTAGTTTTGTGAATGTTGAGCTTTAAGCCAACTTTTTTGCTCTCCTCTTTCACTTTCATCAAGAGGCTCTTTAGTTCTTCTTCACCTTCTGCCATAAGGGTGGTGTCATCTGCCTATCTGAGGTTATTGATATTTCTCCCAGCCATCTTGATTCCAGCTTGTGCTTCCTCCAGCCCAGCATTTCTCATGATGTACTCTGCATGTAAGTTAAATAAGCAGGGTGATAACATACAGCCTTGACGTACTCCTTTTTTTTTTTTGCAACCAGTCTGTTGCTCCATGTCCAGTTCTAACTGTTAATAAAGTAAATTTTTCTAAGAAGGGAGGAATACCTGTAGCTTTATACAGAAAAGACACCATAAATTTAAAAGACCAATTCTTTGAATCGTTTTGTCTCCT